TGAAAGTTTATCTTTAATTTCTTCATATATTGCTTGATCCCAATTAACAGTTGGATCATCCATTTTATTAATAAGAACAACTAAATAACGAACACCAGCTATTTTAGCTAACACAGGATATTCTCGAAATCTTTCATATTCACAATAGTATTGCCATTGCGATGGTGTAGCTGAAATAACCTATAAAATATAAAATCATAATAAAGAAATCTTTATAAAATAATCAATTAATTACAAAAATAACAACATCAGCTGCTGTTGATTTTTCGTAAAAGCCATATTCGTTTTCACGAGTAAAGCTAACTTGACCTTGACTAATAATATGTTTTGTTTCAGTTTCAAAAAAAATTCGATCAGTTCCAACAGTTGTTCGTTGTTCTGTTTCTTTTTTATAGGAACCATCCCTAAGTTGTTTCTGAATCATTTTTTTTCCGCAACCAACATGACCACAGAACAAAATGTTAACTATTTGCTTCTTTTGTGCTATATCTTGTTGAACAACAATATTTTCCATTTCACTATCTAAGAAATTATTTTTCGAAATTTTGTTAAATTTTGAACAATTTTAAAAATGTACGGTTTTTTAAAATTCTTTATTATAAATGAAACAGTAAATTGATGATCAAATATGATTATTTTATTGTTTAGACAAAGAAAAATCTTTCTTTTCATTAACACATTGAAGAAAAGCTAAAGCTCTTAATAAACATTGAGCCATTGGTTCTCGTTGTCCTTTGCTTGTTCGATGATAATTCATTTTTAATTGATCATCTATATCGATTGATATCATTTCATTATTTCTTATATTATTAAATATAAGATTTGTTAGAAAAAATTCCGCACTTGATTGTTCATACCAACAAATAATCCAAAATGTAAAGCAACATCTCTTCCTGAAATATGATAAACTGAACGTTTTGATTTGGAATGACAATGAAGTAATGTATTTAAAATAGCACGAATTTGTTGTATTTGTGATATATATGTTGCTAATTTTAAATTCGGATAACGATAAATTGATTGTTCAACAAGAAGAACATCTGCATCATTTAATGGAAGTTTTGAAAGACTATCGGATAACTTAAATGAAATATTTTTCTAGAAAAAATAGATCAAAAATAACTGAACGAACTTGATTAAATGCCTTGATAAAATTATATTTTCTATCAAGATTAACTTCTAATGAATTCCATTGTTTGACTTGAAATTGATTTTTATCATTTGTTGTTTTTACAATTGACCAATTGATATATGATGAAGTATAATCAAGACTACAAACACTTTCAATATCCTATAGAAATCCAATTTTCTATTTTGTTCTATTATCTTGAGAAAGTTCATTTACAGCAATATTTTGTGGTGTTAGACGAGGTTCAATATGAATTCGATATTGTAAATTATCATTTCGAGTTTTTAATGTTAATAAATAACTGAAGAATTTATCAACATAAATGAAAAAAAAATTAGATGAAAATTGTATTTGTAAAATATTTACAATCAATTTGAATATTGGATTCATTTCGAAGTTGTTCTAATGAATGAAATTTTCCACCTAATGAACGTCTTAATTGAAAAAAATTGTTTTGTTTGTTCTTCATTAAATCTTTTGTTTTTATTTTATTTAATTCATCGATTAAATTTACATCGGTAGATTTTAATCGATATGAAAAAACAGAATTTTATTCGCTGAATTAAGAAACGTGAAAATAACATCAGAAAGAGAGATAGAGAGAGAAATAAAATCTACAAACGAAAGAGACAAATGATTTTTTATTTTATTTTTTAATGTTCTTCTTTAAATCAGATGCATAACAAATGTCTTATCCATAGATTGTGGGTATGGTTTTTTTTTTCAAAGAGAATAAGTATGAAATAACAACAAACAAAGAAAAGTTTTTACTCGACTATTTTAAGAACTTTGCCAACAACAACGGTTCGACCTTCATCACGTAATGTGAATCGACCAAGTTGAGGAAAACGTTTAAATGGTTCCATACATATTGTTTGACTTGATTGAGTTAATTCAAATCTTGCAATTGCAACTTGATTTTGTTTAATAAAACGTGGATGTTTTTGTGTTCGTTCACCTGTTTTACGGTCAATTAAAGTTATTAATTTTTTTAATTGAACTTCAACAGCTGTTGCATGAATACGAAGAACAGCTGTATAACCAGGACATATAATTAATTTGTGTTCAATTATAGCAACCTAATTTTTCAAAAACAAATTATTCAAATTCATTTATTATTTGATTTATTTACTTGTGCATCAAATACTCTTCCAACACCACATGGTTCTTGTTCAGCATCACAAATCATGAATCCAGGTGAGATTTCCTATTAATTCAAACTTATTAATAATTAATAAATAACATCTCAATCATACTAACTTCTTCTT